GCTTGCCTCATTTGCCTCGCTCGTTTACTCGCCTCGCTCGTCTGCTGCTGCAAATGAGTGCCTCGCTCGCAACGCCCCTCTCGCGAGGGCAGAGCTAATGAGGCCCTCGTTTGCTTGCCGCTGTACTCTTGCGCCGCCCTCGTTTGCTTACTCGCTCGCTGGCTACTCATCGCGTGCGCTCGTACCTAACGAGTGCTCATTTGCAAACAGCCTCGCGTGTTCCTCGTGAGTTGCGCTAACTCAGAGCAAACTAACGAGCGAGCGAGGGGCCAAAATGAGGCAAATCCGAACCCTGACAAAAAGTATCAAATTTTTTTAAATTGAAAAACCTTCCACACAGAAGGTCCAAAATAGTACTTTTTACAGAATTGAAATCGGTTCAGCCGTTTGGTCAGGCATCGCGGTCATACGAAAAACATTTCATTTTTTATATATATAGATAGATATACATAGATATAGATGACGCACAGGAAGTGGAAAAGAAACGTTCAAGAAAAAAATGCTCGTATATTTATTTCTTCAAGAAAATTTACAACAAAGGTAAACTATTTTTTAAAGCAACAGAAATAATGAAAAATATTTCTTATGATTTTTTGATTTGATTATTTTTCTTGAGAGCTGGATTCTAAGCTTTTGCTGTAAATTTTCTTGAAAAAAATAAAAATCCTAACATTTTTTTTTTGAGAGCTGCAAACTGATTTTTAGAAATTTTTCTTTTCCATTTCTTGTGCGTTGAATTCTTGTAAAAATGACATAACATTGCTCTATCTATTTTTGTATAAAGTTTTTGTTTATGTGTTTAAATAATGCCGGAGTACCCGGATCGAGGTACTTAAGCGGGTTCCTTTAAGTACCCAACCCGCCTAAGTACCTCAAAAAGGTGACATTTTTCGTGAGGTACTTAAGCGGGTTTTACTGTATTCGCAATGTTTTACATGCTAAAATTGTGTTAATTTTGTATTAAAATATGGCTTATATTTTAGCAAACCACATTTAAATCCAAGAATGAAACAGTGTATCGCGAACTCCTTAACCCTTTCAATACCATGGGGGTCATGCATCCCAAGGGAGATTAAAAAAATCGATTTGAATAAGATAATGTCCCATTGGTAGTTATAAGTATTTTCTTTTCATAATCAGCTATTTTAGGTTCGTTTAATGAACGCGTAATTTTTTATAGGAATTAATTGGCATCAACCACCGTTGAATTTACAAGTGTTTTTATTTTGTGTAAAAATATAAGTGTTTTATCAAGAGAATACACAACAATATGTTCAAATATATCGTCGCTGGAATAAAGAAACAGTGTAAATGCCACATACAGTATTATTCGATAATCGTCCTTTAGTCTATTAGAAAAATCTTTAGTTTCTTAAATATCTTTTTAGATCACGAACTTTTTCGCGAAAAACGAAATTTTATAACAAGAGTGTAGGTATTACAATAGTTTACATATAGTGTATGGTGCACTTGGACTAGTATTAAGAAAATCCCAAAGAAATTCTTGTAATATTAAAATAACGTTAGAGTATTTTACTTCATTTTCATTCATTGCTGCTAACTTTCACAGACAGCTTCAAAATGTGAACACATTATACAAGTAATTTTTAGCGAAAAAAAACCGACTTCAATTCTCATATAAATATATATATATATTTCATGATCCAATGATCGGATCTAAACTAGATTAGTATGGGACCACCTCTGAGACAGTACCTTTCCGGTGCAAAAATCGAAATCGGTTGACGTGGTCCAAAGTTATGCGGTAACATGCATGAAAAAAAAGAAATATTCCGACGATCTGATAACCTCCTCCTTATTTTGAAGTCGGTTAAAAATAGTGTAATATCGACATACATCAATTACTTTTTCTTAGTTTGCAACCAATATAAAATAGTGTACATGCAATGATTTCATATAAAAATGTTCAAAGATAAAATAGTGTATAAGCAGATGCTTTCAGAAAAATGGGCTCAAATGGTATTTCTAAGTAAACATGGTGCGGCATTTTTTTTGTGAATTAACAGCTAAGGAATCAATAAAACGTATGGTGTATTTAAAATATGAATATTTTGAATAAGAAGCGCACAATTAAAGTTTAGATTTGGTCGCTTGGTTTATAAAAAAACTTCTAATTAGTTTTTCTCAAAACTATATTTTTCTTGTTACACTACTTCATTATTCCAGCGACGATATGCTTATAGGTTCGTTCGCGTAGCTGTTAATTGTTCATGTTTAACCAAAACTTACAAGTTTTTGCGTTCGCGTACGCAAAAAACTTGCAAAGTAGGGGAAATTGAGAGAGCAAAGTGACATTTCATTTTGAGGGGAAGCTGCTGGTTTCTGCTGGAAAAATTTTTGCCAACAGCAATTTGCCAACAGGAAAACAGCTGATCAAAAACAGCTGGTTGGCATTTACGCAAATCACAAAATTTAATTTGATGGTTTGGAAGTTAAAAATTACAAAATGCGACTAATTAAACTTGTAAGAAGTAAGTAGTTATTTGTTTAATCAATAAACTGTGCCAGGATACTACTTTGTAATAAGTTTTCGTACGTTTTAAATTTTACACTTTTGAATGTAAACAAAAATTATATCAGCTGTTCGTCTAACTTGCAAGTTTCTGCAAATTTTCTGTTCGCGTACTATTTTGGATATTTCACTCTTGTGAGCGAACAGATGACATTTCGCCGGAATTTGGCAGTTGGTTGGTTTCTGTTGGAGATTTTAAACGAACGCACCTTATATGTGTGTTTTCCAAAATAGGGATAATATATCCCATTGTATGGGTTAAGCCGTATAAACGGGATATATTATCCCAATGGTATGGTTTAGGCAATATTAGCGGGATATATTATCCCAGTGGTGTACATTTAAAGTTTTGTTTTTTTTTAATTTTTTTAACATCTGTTATAAATGCAAATATTTTTTGTCAGGAAAATATTCACACAAAATACCAGCTAAACGAATTCGTGGTTCCATTTGCTGAACAGTTCATTGCGCAAGGTGGAGCTCTCACAAAAGTCAAAAGAATACCTACAACAAACGGTCCTAGGTCTCAAAAGCACACACAAAATTGTATGTGGGGATCATATGCCCATAAAAGAAGACCGACGCATATACATTAGACTGCATCACTCCCCATGTACTGTTTTTCCATTGGAATTGTATTCCATTATATTTGAAGACCTGAAAGCACCTCCAAAAATGGAGTTTTTATGAATAAAAATAGTTTCTTAAAGATGTTTAAAAAAAAAAAAATGCCCTCAAATGACAAAACGGTTTAAGCTTAAAAAATTTACATAAAAATATTTTAAAAAAATAAAAAAAAAATTCAACGGAATGAAATTTTTGATGTTGTTTTTTAGTTTTTTTTCAAAGATTTGTATAAGGAAAACTTGAATAACTGAACCTAAACTCTTCCGATTTAGACTTGTGAGGTATCATTGCAAAGGTATTTTCTCACCCTTTTTATTTCTTTGCTAATAAGATCATTCAAACGATGAAAGATAAAGGTAGGACGAACGAACATCATTCAAAGTTGAATTAAGATGTGTTGATATTTGAAAAAAAGAAATTGGGACACAAATGACTATTTTTGCACATAAATAAAAATAGTGGGAAAATCCCTTTCTACCCAGATCTCATAGGTCTAAATCAGAATTGTTTTGGCCCAGTTGTTTAGGTTTTTCGTAAATCAATCTTTGAAAAGGTAAAAAAAAACAGCAAAAATATCTCATTATTGCGATTAGTTGAAAAGATTTTTAAATATTTTTATGCAGATTTTTTTAAGCCTAATCTGTTTTGTCATCTGAGGGGACTTTTTTCAAAAAGTTCTTTAAGAAACTATTTTTATTCGTAAAACATTCCATTTGGAGGTATTTTTAAATCGGTCCAGCTCGCTTAAATCTTAATATTTTTGCGAAATATTTTGGTGGACGTCTTAAAATATAATCCATTTTGTAATCCCGGCGGAAAAACCGCAACATTTTTTGGTGATGCAATCTAATATAGATACACATACATATGTTCAATGTGCAGAGTCATTCATTTTTGAATGCATTGGCAAATTTTATAAACAAAATATCAGACTTAGAATTAAAACTTATCTTTCATTATTTTCAAATAAATATGACCGATGGGATATTTAGTCCCAAATAATGTTATGTAAACAGCCCAATGGGACATATAATCCCAGGAGAGTTTTTTATTAATTTTGTTTTTTGCCTTGTTGGATATTATATCTACCCGAAAATAACTGAAAAGTACGCTGTTTATAGTGCGGCAGTGAAAGGGTTAATACGAATTTCTATTCTAGAAGGTATGCAGTTCTATAGCCCATTAAATTTTAATATAGTAATGTGCGAATTTCAAATGCCTAAAAATTCGCGTTGATTTTTGAGAAATTTTTTGTTGACAGTCCTTCGGATTTTTTTTTCATATTAAAAATTCTGAGAATGAACGTCATAAAACCAAATGAAAATTCGTCCGATTGCACTTTCTTTCTTTCTTAAATCTAAAACTTAATTTTTTGGAGTCCGTGCACTGAATAACATCAATTTTGTCGTTGATTTTAAATATCTATGCTTTTACGTCTGCACAAAGCTTTTTAGTATAGACACAAACCCCTTGAGCTATGTGGAGAGTTTTCCCGTAAGCACAGATGTGCTTAATAGATGTCAGAATAGAGTGGTAAGTTCGTAGAGATCTTCAGTTGACATTCAACAAAACATTTGGGGCAGCCCGTGTTGTCTGCAGTCTCTACGTGTGTATGCAGAGAACTTATAAACGAAATAAACTCCAACAGAACTGCTGCTATGTAATAGCAACTATGTATGCAACAGTTTTCCCCGCAGGTTAAAGTGGTTACTTATTTATTTCGTCAGTCGGGTCGGGTATTTGCTGTCCGCATCTGCAGATGTCCACGATTGTTTAAATTTCCCCCTACCTGAGAATGTTGTATGAACATAGTGTAAAATGTGGGGAAAAGTGTTTCCATCTTAACCGCATTGATCGCTCACTTTCTTGTATGCGCTCTTAACAGTTCTCTGGCAGCGTGATCAGCCATACAACACATTTTCGCGTCACAATTGTAGGCAAAGGCATTTGAGCAAAGTGTTGGACTGAGTGAGTCGGTTTTAGATACCCGTCTTTACGTTGTTTGAAATTATGGCGGATATCAGCGTGCTGAGTGTAATATTTTTCGCTTGAGTATTTTTCGGCGTGTTCATCGGACTGTTTTAGTGTAAGAGCCTAGACGTGCGTGTTTACAGACGCGATAAATTCACTGGCGATAAAAATTGGGGGAAAGTGTTTACCAAAATTTAAATCATCTCGAAAAGCATTAAAACTGATTTAAGAAAACAAAAACGTTAAAATTTTTATCAAATAAAAGTTCGCTAGTCAGGTAACGGAAAATCTTCCGGGCAAGCGTATAGTGAATTTACATACATATGAATGAATGTATGTACATTGTATCTACTACATACATATGTGCATGATGTGCATAGATACATATGTGCATTGCAGAGTAGCAAAATCGAAGACTTCGCAGTCGAAGAACTACGCATGTCGAAGTTGTTATTAACCGCAGTAAATTTTTCAGCGGTCTGCTGTGTTGGAATAACGTATATGCGTGTGTTTGTAGCTGAATTGTATATACATATGTAAATAAATATGTGTGAATGTATATAAAAGTATAAATACATATATAAGTACTGCATATGTGTTTACATATGTATATATGTACAGTATACATATATACGATCATGCATACGTATGTTGAGTAACATGAGGGCGACGACGACTGCGGCTGCGGTTGCGATGATGTCTACGACGCTGCGCTGTTAAGTGATGTGAATGGTGTTGTTTACGTCAGTTTACTCCGTGGTGAGCCTCCATTCCGGTGCCACTTGTCACGAACACGGTCACCGAGGAGGTGAATAAGCGAAATTTCCTTCTGCCCCAATCGAATCATATACACACTGCTCGGTGCATTTGCTCTTGCGTACACAACATTATCAAATACTTTCGGTTAATTGCTCGTGCTTAAAAATATTGTGTACTATGGCGGTGTGGTCCATATTACTTTTGCTCATTTTAAATGTACTTACATACAGAAAGGCGAATTCAAACAGTTTAAAATCAGACACATATCTAAAGAACCAAGACCAAAGAAACATCAATTGAAAGACGCAACTGCTCTACGTTCACAGGCGATCATTCTCTTCAATGTTATTCTACTTCCCCATGTGCTCTTTTTGAAATGCATGCATTCATATACATATGTATGTGTGTACATATGAATACGTACGTATGAATATATGTGCCTACATGTATATATACTATGTTTGTATAATATTTGGAGATGTTTAGTATGTATGCATGTATGTACATATGTATGTCTAACTATGCTCTATCGATCGTTCTCAGCTGTACGAATGTATTTCATACATCAGACTGCACAGCAGCATTTGCTTGTTGGCCTTTCTATTCTGCCTCTGCTATCAGCAAAGACTGCCATCGCAGTGAAACAGTAACATTCTAGCAGTGTTTTGGTGGTTTAGCAGCGCTCTTTCGTCTATCGGGCGTGTAACAAGTGTTTATGTGTACTTCCTATGCATATGCGTAGAACAAGCAAATGATTCAACAAAACGTGAAAACGAAAAAAGAAAACAAACGTGGAATTGTTATCGATAAATTTGCTACGTAATCCTTGTAATCGTTATTAAATCCGTATATGTATATATGTATAACAAACAGCGGTGTGTGTAATTGTGTCTATAGATGAGAAAAAATATACCTATATACAAACATAGATGTTTATATGCATGCATATGTATACATTAGGGTAGCCAACTCATTTTTGAGAATTTCCCGATTTCGACAATGAAATTCCCCGATTTTGCCAGAAATTTCGTAGATATCTGCTTGTTTACAAAAAAATATTGAATGTATTTTGACATATTGCTGGTCTTTCTGTTCATCTTATTTTTAAAATTAAGACATCTACGTATGTATTTATAAACCAAACCAAACGTTTATAAAGTTAGTTAACAAATATAATATTTAGATACATACATAGATACATACATACATACAGTGGTCGAGCAAATTTTATTCGCACAAGTTTTCACAATTATTTATTTTTTGTTATTTAATTTGAGTTTATTTTTTATAAAAATATGGTTCATTCTTTAACAAAACCTGTAAAAATCCAAGTTTCATACTTTGCGCAATATTAAAAAAAATAATAATCAACAAAATGGTAGAAATAGAAATGTCAAGAGACAATTTGTAAATAGGTTCTCTATTCGTTACTGACTTAAATATTTAATAACTTAGGGTTGCATAAATAATACTTTTAGTTGCAGTTGCACTTCTTACCCAACTTTTTTAACTCATTATGAATTAAGTGAAGCATAAAAGAAAAAACTTAGTTAACACCTAATACCGCAGAAAAAGCAGTTAATCCACCGATTCCCCACAAAAAACGGTCCGTTCCCCGATTCCTCACGTAAACTTAAATTCCCCACAAATCGGAGGAATTCCCCACGAGTGGGCTCCCCCGGTATCCAATTTTTAAATTATTAATATTTAATGTTTATTGTTAATTAGTTTTGAGTATATGAAGAATTTTCTTTAGTAAAATTTTGTCGTAAGCGTCATTTGTCCACAATTTGGCAGCCACTTTGTATGAAATACTACAAAATGTGATCAAAATTTCTACTAAATTAACGACACTTGTTATTCAATATCTCGGAAACTAAAGGGGATATCCAAAAATGGAGATCGCGATTTTTAAGATATTGATTAGTTTAATATGACTTCATCACTAATAAATTTTTACTAAATTATCGAAAGAATTGTCAATATCTCGGAAACTAAAGGAGATATCTAAAAACTGATAACATCAATCGAAAGACCTTATTTCAAAATATATAACTGCATCTATAACTTACGCTTACGACAATCTTTTACCCAGGCGACGATATGCACATGCTTTAGGTATGCATGTGTAAAATGTTTGTACTACGCTCGGTGCGCGGAGTTTTACTGATCTGATATATATACATACATATGTATATATGTATGTATTTACAATTATGTACCAACAAACTGTGTATTGTTATGTGCCCGCGTTTATTTTTTATTACTTATTTACATACGTATCGGTTTTACCTACACATCCAAATGAACATACATACATATCTATAAGTATATGCACGTATGTACATATGTATGTAAATATAAGCATTGTCTATGTTTGAAATGAGGTCACTGTCCTCCCGCGACTGCACAGCATATCTGCACTGAGCTGCCGCAGCCTCAGTCACCGGCCAGCAACATTGCTGCCCCATATGTGGTGTAGTAAGAATAACTAGCAGCAGCACTGACACTTCTCGGCTAGCACCGTCACCGTAACCGACCGGTATTAGCGGCGGAAAAGTTTGCACCATCAACAATACGTTCACTCCATACACCACATTCGTTGCTGGAGTTCTCAAAGCCATAGTTTTTTTTTAAAGATAGCACGCAATCATGATCGCTCTGTTTACTACTTTTCTGTGGTTTCGTTGCTTTGCCTTGCGTTGTTCTGACCAGGGTTGCCACCTACGAAAAAACACTTACCATCCACTTCAAATAAACCTACCAAATCTGGAGAAAATCTACCAAAAACTTTTTTTGGTTACCTATTAATAAATTGTTTATTAAGGATCTTTCTACTTGACTAATGATGTGGTATTTTAGATCATATTAAAGTCGTCTTCTCGGTTTTCTTTAACCAAAAGCGAAAGTGATGAAACTAAATAATAATAATAAATTGGCGCTTACACATATGTTAGTGTTTGGCCGAGCTTCTCCTCCGATTTGTGGCGTGCGCCTTGATGTTGTCACACAAAGCGGAGGGACCTACAGTTTTACGCCGACTCCGAACGGCGATTGTATTTTTATGAGAAGCTGTTTTTCATGGCATAAATACACTCGGAGGTTTGCCATTGGCTGCCGAGGGACGACCGCTGTTAAGAGGAAACCTTTTTTCTATATTTTTTGCCATGTTGCTTTGACCAGGGTTTGAACCCAGGTGCTGCGGAGTGGAAGCGCGCACTGCTTACCACTACACCACAGCGGTCGACCTACACCACAGCGGCCGACATGAAACTAAAAGCAACAACGAAACTTCATAATTTAAAAAAAACTTCAATTGAAGTTATTATAGACAAATACAGTGACTCAAAAATCGCTATGTATTTTTTTAATATTCATAATGTTTTTCAAGTAAATTTTATTTTATTTTTTTTTCATATAAGAATATTGTTTGCGCTTTCACCAAACCCATAAAAATCAAGGATTCAACCTATTTAAAACGTATAGACAAATTCAAAAACATTTCGTCAAAATTTTGAACTTTTTATCCTGAATTTTTAGAACAATTTTGGACATGGTGTTTTATATCGAACAATCATAGCGTGTAATTACACATGTACCTGACCATATTTTCTTTTTATTTAAAAAAAAAAAAAACCAATTAAAATGTTTAAGCAATCAAAAGCTCCTCAGGATTCCAGTAAGACGAGTTTTGAATAGAGTACGATATGTTCGCCTTTTATCGAAAGCATTCGAAAATTAATTCAGTAAAATGGACTACACTTTTTAGATAAATTCAAAAACATTTCGTCTAAAATTTGAACTTTTTACCCTGAATTTTTAGAACAATTGTGGGCATGGTGTTTTATAGCGAACAATCATAGCGTGTAATTAAATATGTACCTGACCATTTTTTCTTTTTATTAAACAAAAATCATTTAAAATGTTTAAGCAATCAAAAGCTCCTCAGGATTCCAGGAAGACGGGTTTTGAATAGAGCACGATATGTTCGCCTTTTATCGAAAGCATTCGAAATTTAATTCAATAAAATGGACTACACTTTTGGAAAGACATTTGTAATATAAAGATAACTACGAAAAATAAAGCGGGGAACTAACACTATATGTTTTTCAATTTTTCTACCAATTTTGGTAATAATTTACCACAGTGGTAACCCTGGTCCTGACTGTTATTTATGTACGTATGTAGATATATGTATGTAAGTACATATGTATGATTATTTCTCGTTCTAATTACATTTCGGGTTTTTCTGATATCTATAGTTCCTAATGCTTCGAATATCTAAGAAAGTAACGGGTGATTTTTTAAGAGCTTGATAACTTTTTTTTTAAAAAAAACGCATAAAATTTGCAAAATCTCATCGGTTCTTTATTTGAAACGTTAGATTGGTCCATGACATTTACTTTTTGAAGATAATTTCATTTAAATGTTGACCGCGGCTGCGTCTTAGGTGGTCCATTCGGAAAGTCCAATTTTGGGCAACTTTTTCGAGCATTTCGGCCGGAATAGCCCGAATTT